GGGAGGAGGGGGGGGGGAGTAATCTGTCATCAAAACCGTTGCTGAATCCTGAATCGAATTCGCTTCTAACATCGGTTCTCTCCCCCTCCCCCCTCCCCCTCCCCCTCCTCTCTCTCTCGCACGTCTTTCTTTCCGTTACTCGAGATTCGATCGGGAACATTGCCCGTACTCGGTACTCCTCGGTGCGATCCTGTTGTTCCTTCAAATTCCTTCGAACTCCTTCCCCTCCCCTCCTTCGCCACGATCCACGACGCGCCATCCACCACGGAAACGTACCATCGAGGGGAAAATCCCCCGCCCTGGAAAAGAGAGGAGACGCGCACCGCGTGGCCGAGCACGTGACAACTTCCCCTCCACCTCTCGCCCGTACCTCGCCGAGCGCCGCGCTCGCGCGTCCCGCCCACGATTGCGCCTGAAATCCGACGACCGCCCAAGTCGTGGCGCGGCGGCCTCCTCGCGTGCTCCTCGCGTACGGGGGCAGAGGTAGGTAGGTAGATAGGTAGGTAGGTAGGTAGGCAGGCAGGCAGGGAAGAGGAGGAGAGGGAGAGGTAGAGAGAGAGAGAGAGAGAGAGAGAGAGACTCGGCGGAGAGAGTCTGGCGTCCGCGGCGGCGGCGTCGAAGGCCAGAATCGCCGCAAACTCGGTCCGCTCCGGGTGCCCTGGCTGGCTGGCTGGCCGGGGTTCCGGTGCCCCGCCGTGGTGGAGAGAAGAAGAAACCGTGGGCACCGCAGCCCGCCTACGCGGCCGGAGGGCCGTGCCTCGGCCGCCGCGATACCGCCGCCCCATTGGTCGACCCGTTCTACTGGAGGCCGGTCACGTGACCGTGCCGCAACAGAGAGTGCGTGCGCGCGGCCCCTCCGCTCGACGGGAGGGAACGAGACAGCAGTAACAACAGAGACACGCCACGGGGAACATTGGAGAGGAGAGAAGAAGAAGAAGAAGGTGGCGCGCGCGTTCTCTCTCTCTCTCTCTCTCTCTCCAAAAGTGGTGGATTTCGTTATTATATAAATCTCTCTCTCTCTCTCTCTGCCGCTTCCGCCTCCTCCGTCTCCGTCTCCCCACGGGTGGACGCGGGTCTCGTGCCACCTTCTCCTTCTCGCGTCACGAGAGTCGCGGCGGTGGTGCACGTCACTCGGCTACAGCGTGCAGAGAGCGATCGCGTGTGGCTTCGCTCGACTCGGGTCCCGGGCCGATCGGGCAACACGAGTACCGCGCGCGCCGCGACATCGATCTGCCGATCCTCTTCTCTCTCTCTCTCTCTCCTCTTCTCTCTCCTTCCTTCCTTCCTTCCTTCCTTCCTCCTTTCTTTCTCTCCGTCTGGTGGAAAAAGTGTGTGAATTTCTCGCGAGTATATATATTTTCTGTCTCTTTGTCTCTCACTCTCTCTCTCTCTCGCTCTGATATATTGGGATTGGGAGAAGTGAGAAGAAGTAAGAGCGTTTCTCTGCCTGTGCTCTCTCGTGTGATCTTTCCCAGTGAACTGCACGACGAAGCGACGATAAACGACGACTACTCTGGAGATTTTCTCTTCTCGTGCAAAAGTGGTGTAGTATATACATATACATATATATATATACATATATATATATACATAGGTAGGTCTGTGCGTTACAAGACTAACCTTTCATATATATATATATATATATATGTGTGTGTGTGTGTATGTGTGTGTGTGTGTGTGTATAGTTTATCGAAGAATATATACTTGCACGTTATCGGGAGGAAGAAGTGAGGGGGGTGTAACGTTCGATGCGCGGCAAGCGGCAAGTTGGATTGCCGCCGCCGGAAGAGGAATCGCAGAGGAGGCATCAGCTCGAGGCGGCGTTGGTGCACGCGGGGAAGCGTGGTGAGGTTGCGAGCGTGAGGACGAGGCCGACGACACCCGTCCTGGCGAACGACGGAGGGGGTGGCTTCTGGCTGGCGACGGTGGCCGCGGGGCCGGGTGCCGGGCTGCCCCCGCACGGGACCCACCACCCGGCCATGGACCCGACCTGCGGCACCGCCGAGACGGGCTTCATCAACAGCCAACCCTCCATGGCCGAGTTCATGACCGCGTTGCCCCAGCTCGCGGCGGGCGACGCCGCCGGCCTCCAACACTCCCCCGGGGCCGGGGGCTCCATCAGCCCCGGCTCCCACCACCCCGGCTACCACGCCATGATCGACCCCCACGGCGTCGCGGACCCCTCCGTCAACGTGCCCGAATACCCGTGGATGAAGGAGAAGAAGACCACCAGGAAGAGCAATCAGCAAGGTAAGCGGAGATCAGATTTCGCGATTCAAACGGTTAGTGGACGAGTAATAACCGGTTGACACTTCGAGAAATGGATAGTGGAGAGGTAGTAATATATATATTGGTTGGTAGAACATCGGATTCGATCAACCTCTTGTTACTGTTATTCTTAAGCCGAGTATATATCGAGTATATAGTATATATATAGTATATATATGAGAGTTTGAGATCGAAATGTTATAAATCGGTATATGTACGTTGGTAGAATATTGGATTCGATCAACTCTTGTTAGTGTTATTCTTAGGCCGAGTATATATCGAACGGTGGGAGTTCAAGGATTCGATTAACGCTCTTGTTACTGTTATTCTTAAGTCGAGTATATATCGAATGGTGAGAGTTCAAGAATGAATAGTGGAGAAGTAGTAATCGGTATATATATGTTAACGCTCATGTTAGTATTATTTTTAAGTCGAGTATATATATGAAAGTGGAGAAGTAATAAGTGGTATATATGTTATGTGTCGAACGATGGGTGTTCAAGAAATGGATATTGGTTGGTAGAACATTGGATTCGATTAACCCTCTTGTTAATATTATTCTTAAGTCGAGTATATATCGAATGGTGAGAGTTCAAGAAATGAATAGTAATCGGTATATATATGTTAACGCTCATGTTAGTATTATTTTTAATCGAGTATATATATGAAAGTGGAGAAGTAATAAGTGGTATATATGTTACGTGTCGAACGATGGGAGTTCAAGATCGAAATGGATAGTGGAGAAGTAGGAATCGGTGTATATACGTTGGTAGAACATTGGCGAACGTTGGTGAGAGTTCAAAATTGAAATGAATAGTGGAGAAGTAATAAACTGATATATATGTTACGTGTCGAACGATGGGAGTTCAAGATCGAAATGGATAGTGGAGAAGTAGTAATCGGTGTATATACGTTGATATTGGATTCGTCTTGTTGGTTAACACTCGTGAGAGTTTAAGATCGAAATAGGTAGTGGAGAAGTAATAACCGATATACACGTGGAAGAAACGCGAGAAATGGATTCGATTGTTAGTGTCAAATCGGGTATATATCGAACAGTTAAAACATGTTGGTAGAAGGCGAAAAATGATTCGATTGTTGTTGTTAAATCGAGTGTTTAAGATCGAAATGATTCGATTATTGTTAAATCGAGTGTATATCGAATAATTAATACATACAGATAAAAGGGATGAATTCGATTAACACTTTTGTTGGTGTTACTCTTAAATTGAATATATATCGAATAAGGATAACATATTGAAAAATTAATATATTTAGCAGAATGGATTCGATTGAACTCTCGTTAGTGTTATTCTTAAATCGACTAAATATCGAACAGTTCAAGATTCAAGATTCGTTTAAACAGGACGAAGTTACTCTTGAATTGAATAAGAATAATATATCGAGAGTTGATATATTTGATAGAGTGCAACAAATGGATTCGATTAACATTTTTGTTAGTAGTTTTGTTCCTGAATCGAGTACGTATCGAACAGCGAGAGTTTAAGATTGGTCGTCGAAACAACTATGCGTGTTGATACACGTTGATAGAATATTGGATTCGATTAATTCTTATTAGTAGCGTTGTTCCTGAATCGAGAGTAATCGATATAATCGTTGGATTCGCTTTTGTCAACGTCACTCTTAAATCGAAGGGCGAGAGTTTTCGAATTTCGACTCTCCTCCTCGTGCATCAATCTCCCTCCTCCCTGCAAAAGCGAGGAAATAATCCGATGAAGCGCGAAAATCAACCCCTTTGCCCGTCTCCATCGCTCTTCAACATTCGTTCCGCCAAGATCGATCGATTTCCTCGACGACGACAACCTATCAACCTCGCATCCGTAACAAACAAGCCCCGTCCGGATAAACCAGAACACAATGTATCAATTATTTGTACTCGCGAATCTTCTTCTTCTTCTTCTTCTTCTAATGCTTTTAATCGAAAACCATTATTCGTTGTCCCCTCGCAATTCCTCGGCCGCAAGGAAAAAAGGACGAAACTCGGTTTCAACCATGGAGGCAGTGCCGCAAATCGACGGATCGACGGAGTCGACCGATTCGTTTCACCAGCGTTCACGACAAATGGTGATGAAGCTAGCGGGTCCTCGATTAACGATTCGTACACATCCGTTTCGAGCGACACATTGCGGCTCGCCACGGGGTGTCCCGTCGGCTAATGACGGCCAACGACCACTCCTCCTCCTCCTCCTCCTCGAGGCATCGTCACGTGCTGAAGGAAACACCGCTCCTCGTCTTTTCCCAAGCATTCGTGAAAACGGAATCTCGGTTGGAAAAACGGGTCCAGATGCGGGTCCCTCGAAAACCCTTTCAACGAGGATGAATTATATATATAAGCGTCGGAAAGAAAAGGAATTCGTGTCTTCGAGCTGTGTGCGCTGTCCATTCGCTATGGTTTACTTAAGCCCAGTCGATTAGCTTTTTGATGGGGGGCCGGGGCGAGCATTCGCCGGCCATGCTTTGACGATAATAACCACCGTGTGGTCACGGTGCGCTGCATTTCCTCCAGAAACAGCCCCGCTTTTTGCCCCGCAATCCCAGAGAGACGCAACGCTTCCTGCCGTTCACCCGACCCTCTTCTTCTTCTTCTTCTTCTTCTTCCTCGCCTCGTGCGACCGGAACTCGACAAGTCCAAATAATCCGCGATCGGTAAACGAAACGATCGTCGTTGAAGAGAAGAAATAAAAATACGGAGAGGATCTCCATTTTCCGCCAACTTGTTGGCTATTGTCGTCCCATCGAGGGCCGATAAATCTGGTTGGAGGAGGGTGGAGGAGGACGAGTTTATAGGCGTCTCCATTCATCGTTTTCGGCCAAAGTCCGCGGGTCACACGCGTTGGAAGATTAAGCGTTCGGCGGGAAGGTTAACCAGCCGTTGGCCAGGCGGTAACACGCGGAATCATCTGTAAATTGAGCCCGGGGCCAGTGGGGGAGAGGCGTCGGGACGGCCATAACTCACGTGACCCGCTCTCCCCCTCCTCTCGTCGTTCCTCCCTTTCTCTTCCTCGCCGCGTCGCCCCTTTGGCCGCGTTTTCCCGCGAATCCCTTCCTGGAGGACTCCTCCTCTTATCGCTGGATAAGACCTTCAATTTTTGCTGGCCGACGGATTTTGCGACGGAGGTTGGCAGAGGAATTTGCTTAATTTTTTCGAAGGAACGAGTGCAGTTGGAGAGAACTTTCTTCTCGGGAAAGTTTCTCTCGTCTTCGTGCGTCTTGTCATTGTTCTCTCTCTCTCTCTCTGCGTGTACATTGTGTTCAATTAGACAGGAGATATCGAGTTAAGCCTGCGAGACTTCTTTCTCGCTTGTTAAATTAAATTAATTGCAGCTAATTCGATAATAATTTGGGAAATGTCTCGTTCTATCCCCTTGAACCGTAACAATTTTAATCTATAACGCTTCGTAACGATGATCCTCGAAATCGACCTCGATCTTGAATCAATCGTACCTTGAAATTCACTTCAAGCCGTTCACAATCTGGTCAAATGATCCAAAAATCATTAATTTTTAGTCTTGTCCTTCGAAATGAACCTCGATCTTGAATCAATCGTACCTTGAAATTCACTTCAAGCCGTTCACAATCTGGTCAAATGATCCAGATCTCCAAAAATCATTAATTTTTAGTCTTTTGTATTCTTCGAAATGAACCTCGATCTTGAATCAATCGTACCTTGAAATTCAAGCCGTTCACAATCTGGTCAAATGATCCAGGATCTCCAAAAGTCAATAATTTTTACCAAATCTTGTTCTATCAACTTCGATCTTGAATCAATCGTACTTTGGTCAAATGATCCAATCCAGGATCTCCAGACATCATTGCTTTATCTTGTTCTATCGAAAGCAACGAACACTACGATCTTGAATCAATCGTGACTGCACTTCAAACCATAAGATATTTCTCATACACGATGATCTGGTCGAATGATGTAATCAGAGTCTCCAAAAAGCATTGATTTTTAACTTTGCCAAGTTTATTCCTATTTTCTTATCCCTCGAAATCAACTTCGATCTTGAATTATTTCTTATCTTGAAATTCACCTCAAGATATATTTCTCATGTATGTTCAATAATCTGGTCAAATGATCCGATCCAGAGCTCTCCAAAAATCATCGACTTTTAGAACAAGTCTTGTCCTATCCCTCGAAATCAACCACGATCTTGAATTAATCGTACTTTATCCGATTGAAATTCACTTCAAGCCTTCAATTCATAATCTGGCCAATGATCCAGAGCTTCCAAGAAATTATCAATGTTTATTAAACTTTACCAAGCCTTCTCTTATTTTCTTCAAATCAACCACGATCTCGAATCGATCGTACTTTTGAAATTCACTTCAAGCGAATCTGGCCCAATCCAGGTCCTCCGAAAAATCATTAATTTTCAACCAAACCTCGTTCCTCGAAATCAACGAACACCACGATCTTGAATCAATCCTACTTTATTGAATCCGATCTTCAAAAATCATCGACAATTCCTCGACAATTCAAACCTTACCTCTTGATCTTGAATCAAGCCATAACATATTTCTCGACAATCTGATCCTCCATTTAGAGCCTCCGAAAAAACCATCGATTCTTTCTGGAGATTCTTTCTTCAATTACAACACCTTTCGAAACAAAACCGGCCAATCTTTTTACCCTCCCAAATTTTAATCTCCCCGTCAAAATCTTATAATAACCTCGTCTCGTCCCCCCAAATTCCGCGTAATCCCACCAACGACAGCTTCCAATCAAACTCCGCCAAACTCCCCCTCTCCCCACGCGCAACAATCGCGCCGCAAGCACGACATTAATTAGCAAAGGAGCCGTACGTGTGCACGCACCAACCAACCAACCCTCCACGAGTGAGAAGATAACGGGCGCGTCTCCAACGGTGTCCCGACATCCCGTCCCAACAGAGATACACGCCACGAGAGGATAATGATAATCCAGCCGTCCATACCCGGGGGATGAGGGGATTAATTGA